CAAAGAAAACATAAGCATAACTCAGGAAAGGAAGCCTTCTGGCCCGAGAAGGAGTGGCACCAAAGCAAACGCTGTGTGCCGGGCTTGCTACGGCAGGAGCCCTTTGTGCAAAGTGCAGGCTGCCAGGGGGAGGGGAAACTGGGGGATGGAGAACAGTGGAGGGATCTGGAGAGTATTCCGCTAAGTGAAACAAGCCAGTCAGAGAAAGACAAGTGTCACATGGTCTCTCTCATATATGGAAGATAAAGAACAAAATAAACTGATGAGAAAAATAGATCCAGAGACATAGCAGCAATGAACAGACTGTGGAATCTCAGGGGAAGTAGGGGAGGCCGGGTGGGGAGAGATTAATGGATGAACTTATATGCATACTAGAGGCCTGGTGCATGAAATTCATGCACGTGTAGAGTCCCCAGTCCTGGCTGGCGATCAGGGCTGATCGGGGCCTTCCAGCTGCTGGCCAGGTCCTTCCATTGTTCTGCATGCCCCCTGGTGGTCAGAACACGTCATAGCTGGTGGTCAAACTCCTGGTAGGTCGAACTCCTGAGGGGGCAATTTGCATATTAGCCTTTTATTATATAGGATAGGCATAGCCCATAGACACAGACAATAGGGTGATGAAGGCCTGGGGCAGGGGGCAGGCTAGAAGGGGTCAATGGGGAAAGGAAAGGGGGCGTCTGTAATACTTTCAACAATGAAGATAAATTATTTAAGTGTGGCCTGGGTGCTGCACGGAGCGGATGACTTTCTGTGCACATCAGCATCCCCGTGGCTGACGTGGGGCGTTGGCGTGCGCAGTGCACTTGGTTTGATCTTTGGTTTGGGAATACATTTTTTATCTATTTGCTGGCAGATATGCTTCCCTGGTTTATATTTCACATGGGCTGTCTGTATCCTGGCATCCTAAATGCTCGGCAGCCAACAGCGTAGCTGCATCCCATGATTATACTGAGGGTTACCTTTTCTGAGAGAATTGTAAGTTGGTTTGTGCGCAGAAATATTTATTGAGCACCCACTGTTTGCACAACCACAAGAACATTAAGCAACAGTGTAAGTGATCAGTGACAATCAGAGATGTCCCCAAACAGTGAGACGGTGACTGCCCAAGAGAAAACGCTGTTACATGTTAGCTCGTGGGATTCGGGGTCAGCACGTGATTAAATGTGGTTGGAGACGGAGCAGGATGCACCTGCCGCCCGTGGGTGCCTCTGTGCAGGAAATGGATGCTGCCGGTCCCTGCAGCCTCGGCAGAGCTGGAGGAGGCGGCTTTCTGGGTCAGGAATGCGATTTGAGTCGAACCCCACCCAGAGACGCTGGCAGCTCAGAGCCGCTGGCAGCAGGGGCTTAGAGGCCAGTGGCTCACAGACTGCCATTCGAGATGTGGAAGCGACCTGGCTTGTAGGAGCCAGACATCTTTTGTCTTGACTCTGAAGATTTTTCTATTTCTTTGGGGATGAATCTACAGCTCCTCATACTGAACGATGGGACCAAATGTGTATGTGGTTGAAGACGTGGAGCTGGCTTTGTCTGTGAGGTCTGTGAAGAGCAGCCTCCGTGCACATAAGCGATAGCTGGGGCTCTCATGCATGCTGAGGGCCCACATGGACAAGCACACACGTGCACACACATGCACACACACATGCAAATGCACATTCACAAGCACACATGTGCAAACACACATGCACAAGCACACATGTGCAAATATATGCACACACAAGCTCAAAGCACACATGTGAAAACATATATGCACAAACACGTGCGCACAATGCTCAGCACACATATGCACAAACGTGCACACATACACAAGCACACATGTACAACACATGTGCAAACACACATGCACACGTGTGTGAACACACATGTGCATGCTCTCCATGGTGTTTTGGAAGTAACAGATACCGTTGCTTCAGTGAACTGGTTCTGAGGAGCCGAGTGGAGAGCTAACGGAAGTTTTAATCAGAACTAAACCCAGAAAACCCTGTGCTGAGACATCTAGTCCCCCGCCCCCTAGTCTGTGAGTAGGACCTGCTGCAGGGTTCAGCCGGCTGCACACACACCATCAGAGGAACAGACTCCCCACCGGAGCCTCAGTTTCCCAGTGTGTTAGCTGGAGGGTTTCGCACCTGAATCTCCTCAGGGACCATCCTATATCTGTCACATTGTCGTGAGAGAGGACACTGATCCAGAGCGGCCTGAGGAGCAGGGGCCAAGCCTCGTCCTCTGTACACGGGGCTCCCGCTGTGGTTTCTGCACTGCAGCAGGCACTCTGGCTCCCGTGGATGTGGGAGGGGCCGAGAGCAGTCCAGGGACAGGAAGTGGTCCTCAGGGGGTGGGGG